TATTGAATTTTATCTGTTAAAAATTGAAACAAAAATCTTTAATTTAGTTTGAAGAAATTGGAGAACGATTGTTTTGTAAACAAGTGATTGTGGATATAATGGAAAGGAATCTTTACATGGAATACATGAAATTAAACTACAAAACTAAAGAATTTATGTCTGCATATATAGATAAGAATAGGCTTAATAAGGTATTTTTAAAAAACTTAGACAAATGTAATATCTAGAACGTACTAAACGTTAATCTTTGAAATTCTTACAGCTTCAGAGGATTTATGTCTGTATATATAGATAAGAATGAGCTTAATAAGGTATTTTTTAAAATAAACTTAACAAAATTAATATCTAGAATGTACTAAAAGTAATACTTCGAAATTCTTAATTTAAAAAATCTTAAAGCTTCAGAATATATCAAATCAAAAGAGTTTATATTAACAAAAAAAAAAATAAATAAATAAACAAATCAAACAAAACAAAACACAGAAAATAAAAATGGGAACCAAGGGGTAAAAAGCAACAACAAAATCTAAACTACAAAAATAGACAAATAAAAATTTACTTGAAAAAAAAAAATAAGGGAGAGAAAAAAATAAGCACAGAATTAAGCAACAGAAATGAAGATAAAATTAGCTACATTGGAGGATATTGCGAAAGGTTTCCATAAATAGCACTTCTGAAGAGACAAAGCCGCTGACAAAAACTTAAGATGAGGATTCAAAACAATTATGTAACAGATGAGGACACAAATAAGCAACACAAATGTAGATAAAAAAGAGGATAAAAAAATATGTAACAGATGAGGACACAATTAAGCAACACAAATGTAAATACAAAAGAGCTTCAAGTGAGGAGCTTCGAAAGATTTCCGTAAATAGGATCTCTGAAGAAGCAATAACCACAAAAAACACACATGTTATGATGAGGAATCAAATGATGCCATCTTCAGACACACAAAAGAGCCAACTCATCAGATTTACTCTCAAAGAAGACACGAAGAAGCAATCGGGCAATTGATGAAACTAACAGGTAACAAAGTTGAAGAAACATCAGCAAATTTGACAAAATCATCATTAAGCAGATGCCATATAATGACCAACACAAAGGGAGGAAGAGTTTTAGTGACAAACTGAAGTGAAAGTGAAGAGGAAAGAGGATTAAGAGGATTATTTAACAAAAAAGAGGAAAGAGGGAAAAACTAATTTAACTAAACAAATAAAATAAATATGTACATTATGTATGGAAAAAACTAGGTTCTGTTTTTAAACAAGGATACTCTGTGCCAAGTTTGGTTGAAATTGACCCAGTGGTTCCGGAGAAGAAGTCAAAAATGTGAAAAGTTAACATACAAGTGGACGGACGGACTACAGACAAAATTTGATCAGAAAAGCTCATTTGAGCTTTCAGCTCAGATGAGCTTAAAACATAGATATAGACGGACGGATATCGAATTTAGAGATATAGAGATGAACAGAAAGAAGATATATTGAATGTTCTTTTGGATTTTTTTCTAATTGGGTGAATTGTTTTAAAAAATCATCTCAGACTATGTCTGTATGCAAAACTGTTTCTGTGCTATATTGTAGTATTTAGTGAGAGTATAAAAAGAAAAATCTTGTTTTTGTTCTGTCTAGTAAGTAACTCAAGATATATTTTCAAAGCAGAATGTAAATATGGAATAGTAATGTTTTTTTTTAAAATAATTTTGTTGATATAAAGAGGAAAATATCGAATCTAGAACAAGAGAACAGGTATAGCTTTTCTTTTTTCAAGGTGGCAGGGGATGTTATACTTAAATATACTTGATATTTGTGGGTTTAAAATGTTAAAATGATACTCTGTTTACAGACAGTAAAACCGTATATAATAGAAAGTTAGGTTTACAATTTAAATACTGAGAGTTTCAATTTCACTACGTTTCTAGATGATGTATAATAAGATTTTTTTCTATTCATGAAAAAATTGCAACCAAGAAACCGGAAAAAGAATATGAAATTAAATCGGGATTCCAACCAGTAAAATTTCAAGCAAAAAAAACGTCCATGTGTCTACTAAATTAAACCAAGGTACCAAAAACTTCCAAAAAGTGGGTGTGATGGCAGTGGTGATGGCGGGGCTGGTGGAGGTGATGGCGCTGGTGGTGCTGGTGGTGGTGATAGCGCTGGTGGTGATGGCGCTGGTGGAGATGCTGGTGGTGGCGGTTCTGGTGGTGTTGGTGATGGCGCTGGGGGGCTCCAAAGATTCTGTACTATACTCAAAATCCAGCTGCTTGCACTGATTATACCATTTTTCATGTAGTCATATACAGTGTGGAGGATCTCGCGTAAACGAGATCTTGGTGGATTACTATTTCTGTTCACGCTTTCTGCTATTTCCTCCAGCAAATTTACTAGTTCTTGAACTTTTGGGTTTAATTTTGGGGGACTGCTTAATACAAATCCTTTAAAACAATAAATTATAATAGATTAATTTTTTACCACTAAAATGTTGTTGTTTTTTTTCAAAAAGATATCGTCCGTATTTTCAGACATGGAGGGTATTTATATTTTAAACCGAAGATTTGGAAATTCAGGTGGTCATAATTTTTTTTTTTTAAAAAGATAAAAACAAATTGGGAAAAGGGGTGATCAACACTACATATACGTACATACCAGTAGCAGATCCAAAAGAAGAGGAAATGTATCAGACAAATGAAGTAATTGCTTGAATGAAATACGGTTTACAGAAAAAGTTTCCCCTTGAAAAAATTGATTAGGCTTCCCTAAATGACATGCTCGATCAGAAAGTTTTACATACTCGTTGTTAAGGCATTCAATCAAGATCTTTCAATAATACTCGATAATAACAATCTATTTATGAATACGAAGAAAACGGACCCTATATATACAAATCGAATAAGAAATATCAAAATAATAATTAAATCATATTCAGGATTTAAAAACATCTCGTACATATACATGTACAGTGTATATAGCATTTTTAAAAAAAAGTCTCTGTCGAGACTGTAGCTCTACTGGTTTGTACTTGTAATAAAGGAAGAGAAAAATAGCAGTTGGGACTTGAAACTTTACAAAAGCAATAAAGAGAATAATGGTCCTTGATCAAGTCTCTTTTTGTGGAGAGACTGCAAGAAGACTACAACTGTAGGGGTAACTTTTGATAAAATTCAACAGAATTTTCAATTTTAGTTTCCATGGCAACATCAATTATCAAAATCAAAAACACAAAGCTGATAATTATGTATCTCAATGTAGTCTACTTGCATTATTATATTGAAATCAGACTAAAACTGTATTTGGAGTAGCATTTTAATTGTATTTCACAAAAATTTCTATTTTTAGTAACCAAGGCAACATCGTTCATCGAAATCAAAAACCAATAAACAGAATTATGTATCTTAGTGTAGTCTACTTGTGTGACAACTGACAAGTTATACTGAAATCAGATCAAAACTGTAGGAGGAGTAGCCTTTTGAAAAATTGTTTACAGACAGACAGACGGACCGACGACGGACGCATTACTATCGCATAAGCTCTTATGGTCTCTGACCAGCAGAGCTAAAAAAAAAGGTTCAGGCCAATGCATGGCAACAGACGTAACTGTCCAAAGTCAGGAAATTGTCGGTGCTATACTTTACAGGAATACAAAGTAAAAAGGTGTGAGGGAAAGGGATACAGTATTTAAAGAAAGATTTACCATTGCAGAAGAGGGGGAATCCCCCCATGAGCCCACATCGCGTTCTAAGGGTCTGCTTGCATTTCATTTAATAGGCCTAGGGCATACCTGAATTTCCGATTATCTGTTGGAAGAGTCCCCTCTTGTTCCAGATATCCAAATATCTGCCGCTGCCTACAACATGGATAGTTCTGTTGCGTCCGTCCTCCCATATGAATGGAGTGAGACTCTCTCGCCAGAGGATCACCCATTTGTATTCAAACTTCACGCCTGCAGGTAGCCTTACACCCACCACCCATCTGCCCGAATGCACAGGAACTTCCTCTGCAGTGACAATTATGAAGCTCAGATTTTTTTTTTCAAATAACATATTCTGGAATTCACATTCCTCATTAGAGTTGCATTGCGAAGAAGATACTCCGTAAAAATATTTAAAACAAAGGTGTGATGGTCAGAAACTGCTGCGATATAAAACTGAAGTTTCATATTTTTGACGGCTAGGAAATTGAAATGTTAGATTCACTAAAAACTGTATTGAAACTAAAAAGGGTTTGGCCACCCCGTAGTTGTGATTTGTACCACAATAATAAACAAATGAACGCATTAATAATCATGATGTTAAAAACCCACTAAATTGAAATCTATCGTTAATTATAATAGTGTCTTCCCACAAATTTTTATTAAAATAGAAAATTTGGTCCAAATTTTATATTTTAATAAAAATTTGTGGGAAGACAATAGCTTACTGCTCGTAAATAACAATTTAAAATCCAAGATAAAAAAAAATATCAACTTTTTAACTATTTTTCTCTAACTTTTGTGAATTTTGCATGCCCATGGTGCCATAGATAAACTGTTATCAGCTTTATCTCATGCGATTTTTTTCAGTGATGAAGGGGGGGGGGGGGCGTAAAGTCTGTGAGAAATATTTGAAACTTCGATTTTCTCTATATTGCCACTCTCTTATATATAAAATAAACGTTGTTAACAATAGTTTACGGTCTATAAACTATAGATTAAAGAAAAATAAAACTTGTTTGTCAAACATGAAACCATGCTCAACTCATTTTTATGAATGTTGCATGCCAAATCAATGTTATGCATATATTGAAAACACATTCCATACCCCAATTGTTGTATGAAAATCTGAGTAAATTCAATTACAAACAACAAAATCATTTTCTTTAATCCATCTGATGTCAAAATTTATTTAACTGTAAATCAATAAGAAGACAAACATTTTGTACTCATACCTGCAATTAGCGCATCATTTAAATTCCAGTTCCCCAGATGTGGAATGGAGCCGGTGACAGCAAGAGCTAAGTTTTTATGAAGATTTTCGAATTGACATTGTATTTCTACTCTAAAAGAGCCGAAACTTGTTTGATTGTCGCACACAGCAATTTTGTGAAACTATGCAATCAATTGTGACGTAAAGTACACGTAACATTACTATGACGTCACAACTAACCTTTTTATTATGACGTTTTCATTATGGAGTATTTGTTTTTAAATGACTGAAAACATCAACAATTCATGATACAAAAATAGAGAACAGAGAATTTGAAATACATCAAAAAATAAAATCATTTGTCTATGAAATGTAATTGACGTTGCATGCGCTACACGCTATACAAAAACAGAAATTTTAATGCATTTATCTAAATTGATAAATCAGTCCTACAGAGTATATAACATGAAAAAATGTTTCAAATAGCCTGTTTAACAACATAACTAAGGGTCATATCAGTGACCTCGAAAAAGCTATTATCCTCAAATCTTTCATCGTTAACTTTTTGTTACAATTTCAATATAACATCTGGTTAAAAGGTAATTCTACGGAAGTTAATCCTTGAATAGGGCCTTTAATTTTTAAACTTTAGCTTTACCAATTAATCATTTTCTGATTTTTGAGGTCTAACATGAGTCCGATATTGAATTAACAATTCTTGATATATCTACCTGTTGTCTCTTTTCATTAACCTGTCAATGTGACGAACACAGAAAAAAGCATATGAGGATAATAATTAATACAAAAGACGCCTTTGTGCTTTTTAACGTGATATATCGGAATAAATTTTATTGCGATGTCTAATAAATACTAGTATTACCCGCCCCTCAGGGTTCTATTTATATTCTTTGAATACTAGTCTTATGAATGCAACATATGTTAAGAACGAAAATAAACTTCATTTACGTCCGAAATTACCTTTTTTATCGTCCCTCAATGTATTAATTCAACCGAAGAACGAATTGACTAACGCTACTTTCATTTCCGTGATCAATGTTAATCTCTCACCAGAGTGCGCGCTCAGCTTACATTGTGTTGGAGCGGAGCGTAAAAACGCCCTCTGGTGAGAGATTGGATCAATGTGTGGAGAATGTTTTCAATCAAGAAATGAGGCCTTAAGAATTTCCAAAGGATTGATAAATCAACAGTGTTTCAAAAATAAAATCCTGATAAATAACTTGTTTTTAGATTTGCTTACTAATAAAATTTCACACTCACAAACAATTAATTAATCTCTCCTTTTTTTGTGCGAAATTCATTTTTGGATCGTTCTGTCCCTTTCTAATTCCAGTCTTCTTTTTTATTAACTCCATTGGATCCTCGACAGGTCAGACCTCTGGTATATGTGGAATGATCTTATGTACAATGAGATCTAATATACCGGTTAAGAATAAATTTTACTGGTGAAATATGAGCTTTTGTTTGTGGATCGCATGCATATTTTTAACGTCAATGACTACAATAGTCTGTCAATAGATATTTTTCGGAGAGCTATAGTTCTGCAGCTAATATAAAGAAAATTGCAATATTTTACGGGAAATTGTAGTCTTAAAATGTATTGAAAATCGACCGTAAACCACAGGCACCTGACAAATGCATAGATGGTGCCCCCCTTAATTTTTTATTAGATACAAAATACACGATTTTCGACCGACTGCCTTAAAGTCTGGCTCGAAGCAAAACTTTTGTTTGCATTCCAGGACAATATATTTTTCTTTTTATTCCTCTTACCCCGTCAACAAAAGTGTTGAAATTTTCAAGAAATTATTTTAAAAAGATTTCCCACTTAATACCTACCGACACAATACCTGCAGTCGGGAGAGAGCAAGCAAAAATTATTTTAATGATGGCCTAACAAACAAAATCTTGTAAACTATGTACATAGGATACCCCTCTTCGAAGAAGATTTTCTACGTTATTACAACATAATCAATGAAATTTATGCAAGCTCTTATTCAGATGATTGCTGAGATGTTGTTTCACAATCCCCTTACAGCCACACCCGATCGAAATGATTTATTTGTAATAAATTCAAGTTTAAATTATTTACCTAATTTCCCTTCGCTGGCTGCGAAACAGTAGGTTTTGACTGGAATTTGTGGAAAACATCCAAGGAGTTCCGATTAGTTATCTCTGGATTTATCATTACGCTTCACAAAGTAGTACTTAATGATCTTGTGTTTCGCAGCCAGTTAATAAATTCATTGCACACGAGCATGTTAAGCTACGTACGGAATTTCTATATCGAGACAAACCAAACAGGTTGAGGATACAAGGATATGGCAAATCTTGTCTACAATTAATACTTTTCAAATTCAATGGTCGATGCAATGACCTGCCAGCAAATAAAAGCCATTATTACTTAGAAGATTGACTGTGTTTCGTTTTAAAATAGGTAATTAATTCCAACTCATTTCGTCGCCCGCTTGGCGCAGTGGTTAGAGCGTCTCCTCTACGATCGCAGTGTAAGAATTCCTTACGCCGGGGTGTTGCCAAAACGCGGAATGGAAAACGGAACGGAAAGCGGAACTGACGGAAAACGGAAAAAAATTGTCAAAAAAATAACATTGATTCGATGTAAATCAGATATAAAAGCAATATTTTTGATATTATTTAATATTAAATAAAAATTTATCTCAAGCTATTATATACTTAGTATTCATCAGGTCGGGTACACTACATATACCTTATATGGAAAGCAATTTTCAACACATGACAATATTTTCGTTACACTCGTTCTCCGATCAACTGAAAGAGTTTCAAAGCATGACTATGGAACGCCGGGATTATCTTATATGAGGATTATTTTAATTATATGAAGTAGATTTTATATTATATCGTGTGCAACTTCCATTATACACAGTACTTCTTTCATTATATGACTAGACATGTCATTATATTATATGTACAAGTATCATTATATGAGGTGTTTTTATCATTGTATGAATTAAGTGCTTTTAACATTATATGCGATAGATCTAACATTATATGCAGTAAACACAACAATATATTAAGTACTTCTCACATTATATACAATAATATATTCTTCATAATATACAGCATTTCTGTTATTATGATGATGCTGATCGTTAAATATTATGTCCGGTCCAGTTAGCATTCCATGCGGTAGATTTTGCATTTCGTTATGATGTAGACATAGTATTATATGCGGTGCTTTCTTCTTTATGATGTTTATGATGATGATCATTCAACTGCTGACGCAATATTTGCACTTCAACGTTTACGCGTTATATCACATAACGAATTTCAAACTCGAATTTCAATTCAATGTTTTCCCCGCGTCCGCGTCGAATTGTACCCGCCCATTTCATTGTCTATCATTGAATGTTTTGATTGTAACAGATAGAAATGACGTATGCTGCATATTTCAAATCTTGCCGCCCAGTTAATGTTCCGCGGTCTTACATATCAAGAGCTTTTTACTGACCTATGATCAATCTTTGATAATTAGGGCCCCGCTTGGCGGGCGCCCTATAGTGATCATTCTGTCCATCCGTCCGTCCGTCCGTGCTTACGAGAGTGCATTTATTGGGTATTTTTCATGCCAAGATTGTACTTATTGGGTACTTTTTGCTTATTGGGTATACCCAATAAGAAGTGTCGCTGAATATGCTTAAAACACCCCAATTGGGTATTTGCAGGTTAGTACCCAACAAAACTTGGACACGACCATTTGTCCAAAAAAGTGTCCAAAAAAGTTGCTTTCACGGACGCACCGTGTTTTGTGTTTCAGTTTTACATTCGGAACTCTAAATTCTCGAGAGTTCCGAAAATCAACTTCCGTTGATCCTGATCATAACAACGTTTGTTTTCATGGGAAAAAATATGGCGAGTAAGAAACACTTAATGTCAACAACATTGTCTGATTGACAAGAGAAAAGGTAAGTTTATTCGATTAATATTTATCTATTGCTGGGTTCTTGTTTAAGGAAAATTGAT